ATTTCTGTTTCCTCATTTATGTGAAATTTATCATTTGGGGAAGATATGCTTTGTCTTTGCACCAAAGTAGTGCATCCACTTGAGGCAGCTCAAACCTAGCACCTTTTCTTCTACTTTCTGGAGGACAGTGCTTCCTAACAGGAGGCCATCACGCATGGAGTGTCTGGAGCTCTCCCTGCTTTTCCTGGAAGAGGGGGAAAGTGAGGTTCGGCAGGAGCACTTTGATAGAGGCCAGGTTGCCTTGGGTCAAGTTCAAGAAGAGGTTGGGTCTGCTGCAACATTGTCCTAGGAGCAAAGGCCATCAAAGGAGATTCCTTCAGGAGCAAGTTCTCACAGCAGAAACTCTGTCCATGTTGTCCGGCAGTTTTGTTCATGAGGGAGATGGATAAACAAGCTCATTATTTTTGGGAGTCACGGCACTACAAAATTTAGCCACCCCTTATTTGGCAGAAAAGATCAATTTTGAGGCTGAAGAAAAGAGTTCGGAGTGTGTATGTGTAAATATTTGAAGAGTAAATCATTTGAACTATGGACATTCTTACTAGCAGCTTGAACTTTAATGGTTTCATATTTAACTGGCAATGTGCAATTTTTGCCAGTTGTGGCAAAACTTTCCATTCTCCCTGACATCTCACTGCAAGCCCTGGATATGTCAAGCTCTCATAAGTCCAAAGACCTGGAAATATTGCGTGGGAGATGAAGTTTCCCTTCTAATTCCTCATTTTAATATTGTGTGAGAAACAGAAAGCGTAAATCATCTATGGCATTATTCATAACAGTTCTAAATGGTTAGATGGCGTACATATCATGATGCAGCATATTAAGAAGTGATTAATAGGAACAAGAAATGAGAAGAGAAAGACCTCTGAAGGTCATCCAGTGAAATGGTGTAAAAAGGTTGCTGACTTGAGGGCAGAGAGTTGACTGCCTTTACTGTAGTGTCTCTCTGTATTTCACAGAATTTTTTTACAAATAAACTCAGTTACTATTGATTGATGACATAGACAGAAAGTTGGTGTTGGAAACTGACTTTTTTGACAGATCACTCTTTCTTTCCTGATAACAGAGGGGTTGACCTTGGAGTCTGGAAAAATCAGCTTCCAGCATTGCCTTTTAAAAGAGAGCATTTTTAGGGATCTTGTTTTGTTGGTTAATAGTGAATGTGAGGCCTGCATTTTTCTGACATGATGCTTAGAACACCCACATGCCTTCTTGTGAAAAGCCAAACAGGATAGTCCCTGTTCAGAATAGACTCAGGACATTTGGATGGAGCTAAGCATTTACTGGCTGGATGCCCTTCCTGATGCCTACATTGAGTTCGCAGCAGATATTTTTTTCTTTGCTCCTTAGGAGAGAAACATCTGACAACTACCTAGGATTGAGTTATCAACCTTCCAAGTGGGACGTGAGCATCTTCACCACTAGGCTACCATGCTGCTTTTCAGATAGGAGCTTAATGTGTAGGCAAAAATTCTGTTGACTAGTGTCAAACTCGCAACATTACGTGACGTGTCGCGATGTATCATGACTTTTTTTCCATTGCCGGCAATGGGGTGGGCGCAGTTTCACCATGATGCATCCGGCCCGCTGGCAGTTTGACACCCCTGATGTAAATGATGCTTTCTTCTAAAAATGAACTATCCCTCAGTATGAATTTGTGTGGCTATGTGTATTTGTGTTTCTCAATCAAAATACTGAATTAGAAAGTGCATCTAATAGTTAATTGTCTTGCTCCAGCAATTTACAGGAAGGTTTACAGCAGCCTACTTTTGCTATTGCCTCAAGTCAATAGATCTTGGCAGAGAAGCAGTGATGTTGGAAAGAAAGAATAAAAAAGAAGTGGGGATTTTTTTTTTCTATTGTAGCAGTGCCACATCTCCATTACCTGCAAAAGGAGACTAGCAAAAGTCAGACAAATCCCCATCTCCCCATCCACCTCATTCCTCCTCCTATGATACTGTGTTATCACGGTATTTACTATAGAAATGTTTACTTAGATTACTACACATGCCTTAGGCATGAAAACCAGCTGGGTAACTTAGGCCAATCACACTTTCTCAGCTCAATATACCTCACAGCAGGGATTGGCAACCTTGGCTCTTTTATGACTCGTGGACTTCAACTCCCAGAATTCCTGAACCAGCATGGCTCAGCTTGGAACCTCTCTCTTTCCTCTCAGCATGGCTGGCTCAGGAATTCTGGGAGTTGAAGTCCACGAGTCATAAAAGAGCCAAGGTGGCCTACCCCTGCCTCACAGGATTGTTGTTATGGGAAAAATAGGAGGAAGAGGGAGAATCAGGTATATTAATTCCCTGGAAGTAGGGTTGCCAGGTCTGCTTCCAAAAAATAGCGGACAAGCGGGGGGGGGGGGTTAAGTAGTAAAAAAAGTAGACTGTACAGCTTTAGATTACGTACCATTTCATCATAAAGCTTTTGAATAAAAAAAATGTCCACTATTTTGTGAAAAAAAATAGTGGACATAATGTGAAAAAAGTGGACTGTCCACTCAAATAGTGGACACCTGGCAACCCTACCTGGAAGCCCTTTCTTCACTTTTTAACTAATGTTAATAGTATTTACTCACACTTGCCTCCTTCTAATTTTCAACTTTTATGTTTGCTGTTTTATTTTTTAACTTTTTATTGTACACCTCCTACAAGATAGGTGGTTCAGAAATGTGAAAAATAAAATAAATAAAATGTTTGCCACCTTGAGTTATTTACAAAAATAATAAAAACAGGAAAATTATAAATAAATAAATAAAATTTCCCTGTGGTTTAAAAGCTTCTTCAGGTTTTTAGCATATTTAGAGATCACATCGGCCTCCATCTAAAGGGCTTTCTTGATGTTAAAAAGAAGTGCCCTTGAATGAATAACCTGTGTACTAGTATTTGTTTTATTTAAAATAGCTTTTTAATGGCAAAACAAATTGTATTAAAATTATAATGGAAATATTTCAGTAGCAATATGTCATCTTTTTTCCTTATTTTTACATTTCATTATGATTTCTTTGATTGCTGTGAGCCATCCAGAGTTGTTAAATTGGCCAGCATAAAAGCTTAATAAATTATTATTAAAATTAATATGCGTGGGTACTCTACGCCTGGTGGAAACTTAGTCCTAACCAAGGACTAAGAATTACTAAAATAACATCTAAGATCATAGGCAGTTCCAATCATGGTGAGTTTTTTGTAAAGTTAAGAGTGTTCAAGTCTGATAAATTCAATATTTCCAATATCAAGGAAGTCCTTTAGTTATCACTCCAAGGCAGCGGTTCTCAACCTATGGGTCGCAACCCCATTTGGGGTCGATCGATCATTTCACGGGGGTCGCCAAGCAAGGCTGTCCGCCATTTTTTTTGTCCGCCATTTTTTCCCCCTTTTCCGGC